TTTTTTTTTGATTAACTTCCTTTTTTTCATTTTTTTTTTTTTTTAGAATTGTGAATTAATTTTACAAATTCAAATGGAGTCAAAATTAAAAACTACATTTTGTTAATTGTTTCCTTTTTTTTTGTGCAGAAAAACCCTGTTAAATTATGCGATTTATATATGACCAAATATTTGTTTTCATATTTCATCAAATTCTCAGATATTCAAGGATAAATGTTCATGGAAAAGGGCAAAATAAACAATGCAACATCTTTAGGATGCTAAAAAATTGGAAAAATTGTTAAAATCCAGTTTTTGCTACTAAACTTTATTTATGTATTGCAGTTTTTTTTTATATTAATTGAAAAAAATGTAATGTAGTCAAAATTAAAATAGCATTTTGTTAACTGTTTCTTTTCTTTTTTTTGAAAATTTTGAATACCCACATTTGAATACCCAGAAATTCTTAGATAAAACATTTTATTTTATTAGTATGACTAAATAAACTTTCACCAATAAAAGTGTCAGATGAGGCAGTACAGTACAGTACATTTTTGTAGTGTTTGTGCAATGCTTTTGTTCTGCATTATGCATTTGTGTATTTGTTTATAATTGTTTTAATAAAATCACTATCATATCAGTATTCATTATTGTTTGTTCTGAGCGTGCTACAAATATTGGCATTTTCAACTCTTCAGTTGTGTTTACCCTTCTTTAAATAGGAGAGCTGAATTATAAGCACAGTTGATTAAATCATTTCTGCTCTGTGAATCTGCATGCCCTTCTGTATGTCGGAGTTGGTGTTGTTGGGCAGTGTGTGTGTGTGTGTGCCAGGGCTCTTGGCAGTGTCTGCACCTGTTGGCAGCATCAGGATCCTCCTGGCAAGGCCGGCAGAAATTGTGTGATGCTCTTGTACGAGTGCAGAGGAGACTGCAGCCACAGCACGTCAACATGGCGGCCACACTCTGCTTACCACTGCTCTCGGTCCGCATTTCCATTTTACGGTGGAAATAAAAGTGGACCAATGCAACTACACAGTCCGTTTGCGATTTTGGAATTGACATTTAGAGCCACTGATGGATTGTGGGAGCAGAAATGCACAAGATAAAACCGTGCTATGTCATATTATTTACTATGACTGAATCAACTTTGCTAGATTTGAACAGTCAGATCTGATTGAAATCGTTCAAGTTTAAGAATTTGCATTGAAATACCGAATGTGTCTTGTGTAAAAGAGCCACTGCAGCAAATGTTTTGATATAAAGTTGGCTATATTAGTTTTGGCCTAATCTAGAGCATTGCTGTAGCTGCTGCGCCACCCAATGTGTTGCACAAGGACTAACATCTCAGCAAAAACAAGCTCCGTGCAAATTCACTTCAATGCCGGAAACGTGTTTAGCGCTGTACGAATGGCATATCAGATATGTTGGATTCATATGTAAAATTAAACAAACAAACTAACACCCAATCATTTACCTGTGTTGAATTGATTAACGTATTTTGCGACCCCTTAAAATGCATCCACCTTTTTTGGTCATCGCTCTTCTTTTACATTTCCTGTTTTTAACAGCAGTGATACTTAGTGTTCTAGATCAGCACCTCTGCTGATTTCATATAGCTTCATCACCTTCAGTTTCATGTCTATACATGTTACAGACCCTGCTTTAAAAAAATATATATTTCACTGTCTTCACTATAATTAATTATTGGGCCCATTAGTCATTATAATTGTTGATTCTGGCATTGGTCTATCTATCTATCTATCTATCTAATTTTATATTACTGGTATACTTATTTATTAGTTACATTCAATATATTCAATACAAGTCATGCTGAAATCATGAACACAGTATAGTAAATACAGATCTTTGAAAGTCATTTGAACCAATCAGGATGTGGCATTACTTCCAACCCCCCAAGGGTGATTACATTTGACCCTTGCACATATTTCTGCATGACTGTCGTCTTTACATGTCAATGTGTTTTTATGTATGATAACATACGTTCCAGTGTGGATAGCATAATGCCTCTGCAATTATTATTTTCTTTTATTGCAGTGGGGATTATTTTAAAATCAAATAAGATTGGGAATTATTTCATTCCTGTTTTGATGTAAAACATAATTAGGAGTTTTAGTTTATTAATTCATGCATCAAATTGTAAGTATTTTTATTTATACCATTTTATAAAAAGCACGTTTTTACTTTTTACTGCATATTCTTTTTGAAATAATCACATTGTAAACATTTTTTTCTACTCTTGTGCATTAATTTATTATTGTATCATATTTGCAGAAATTAGATCTCGTGTGTGTGTGTGTGTTCAGGGTTGGTCGTTTGCTGTCACCTGCACATATGTGTGTGTGTGTCATGCACCAGCATCACTGACAGATGGCGTGTCCTTTTGCTACAAGAAATATTGTACTCTTGAGGTTTTTTTGCAACTTTTAAAAACAGAACCGCGTCAAAAACCCCTCTACAATGTCATCACACTCGTTCATACGATCATGCGTTTGCTTCCTTCCCCCGATTCTGCTGATCAACTCATCATTAACATCTCAACACACCATCGGGATCAAAATGCACACGCTCGCAAATAAAGATCGTTTATTTTGTAACAAAAATGCAAAGTGATTTTATTGTGCTATTCGTTGCGTGTGCATCCTGTAGGCTGTGTGTGTGTGTGTGTATGTGTGTGTGTACAGGATGTGTGTGTAGATTCAGTAATAAATGCAGAACCGCCTCACTCTAATCAAGCTGATTAAAAATTCCTGCGCGCGTGCAGGCGGAAATCCACCATCATCATCATCCTCGTTCTCCGGCACTTTTACTTTATTTTCGCGTTCATCCTCCAGGACAGCGACAGACGCGTGAGGACCCGAAATCCGTCTTCAATCGCGTCGTTTAGGAGGTTTAGAGATGAGGAGAAGCGGCAGGCAGCGCGGAGAGGGAGGGATGAGCCGATGCAACTCATAATTTAATGGGGACAGAGAGAGAGAGAGACGGAGAGGGAGAGAGAGAGAGAGAGGCAGAAGGGAAACAGAAAGAAAAGGACCGAGCGCGAATGTTACAAATGTAACAAGCGGAAGATACAATGTAGCGCTGACGTGCGTCAGGAATGTTCGGATGCTTTGATGTTTCATTCGACGTTCGAAAGTGTATCGCGCACTTTTAAAGCTGCTTCGGATCCGCAGATCGGCTCGAGATGAGACGGCAGGTCGCTGGGGCTTCGTGCTGTTGTTTGGCCAGATGAGAGGCGATTCACGAGCGCTTCTGGTCCTATAGGCGCGTATTGTTGAAGCTCAATGGGATGTGTAGGGAACGCTGGTGGTTACTTTTATTTTTAAGCGTTATTCTGCGCACAGAACAGACGGTGGATGTGATCGTAAACTCTATTGAACTCTAGTCTTACCGGAGATCGTTGCATTTCGGCTTGATTGCATGCGTCTACGGTCTTTAGCTCTCATCACATTTTAAAGTACTTTGCGCTTCGTCTATATGGTTCTACTTGTATTATGCGCTGTGATTCATGGCTTAGCGTTTGATATTAGGTCTTGGTGTGGACGATCTGGAAGTTTGTTTCACATATATATATATATATATATATATATATATATATATATATATATATACCTGAATCAACCTGTATCAGGTTACAACAATGGATTTTAAGGCTCAGGAGAAGTAGAAATATATGTTTTTACTATTAAAGTGTTTGCATGCACACACAAGTTCATCTTTTTTTATCTATATCCTCTATACCTGTTATATTGGTTTTTAAACAAACAAAGTCACATAAGTTCATCTGGTGTTCAGTGCTGTGGAATTCATTGTTGCATGTCTGATGTCTTGTTTGGCCTGTTTGATGAAATCTAACCCCGTCTGTCATGGTGTCTGGTGGAATGTTCCTTTATCGCTGCGAATGCAATGTTGAGACAAGGTGCATGTCCCTTTTCCGGAAATCTTAGATAATCCGAGGCCTTTCTTTTGTTTTGGCATTTAGGGAAACACTTTTTTTGGGTGTTGTTAAATACAAGTAGTTGCAACCAAAAATCTTCACACTTTGTTTTACATGCGTGTCTTCACTTCAATGAGGAATTCAGGGTCTTTCAGTTTTATACCAAGAGATCTGATCCGCTAAATATTTCACAGCCTGTCTCTTGTATGGAAGGGTTCATTGTACGGTGCGCTGATCACTGAACTCCTCTGCACATTAATGCGACTGTACAAAAACTAGCTTGTTTGCTCTCCACATGGGATTCTGCAGTGGGTTAGACATACATAATACATGCTCTTAGGAATGGGAATGTGATCGTTGCATGAAACATTGTAAATGCCAGGTAACATTTGGCTTGATTTGACATTTCAGTCTACATGGAAGAGACAGTTTATGTTGCATATTGAACTCTAGTCTTACCGGAGATGGTTGCATTTCGGCTTGATTGCATGCGTCTACGGTCTTTAGCTCTCATCACATTTTAAAGTACTTTGCGCTTCGTCTATATGGTTCTACTTGTATTATGCGCTGTGATTCATGGCTTAGCGTTTGATATTAGGTCTTGGTGTGGACGATCTGGAAGTTTTCTGTTTTAGAATAGAATAGCTGACATAAAACTGATATTCGAGTGAAGTTTGTGCTCCTCCTGCCAAAACTTGAAGTCGCTGTTCATCCACAGCTCCTTTATATGCTCGTCTTAAAGTGGTGAGTTCAAGCTTGTTATTTTTTTTTCTTGTTTCTTTGTTTTGTTGAATTGTTTTAATTATTTGTGAATGTTCTCTTATTTTTTAAATCTAAAAAATATATATATATTTTGTATGCCCACTATAAATTTTTAATAATTGAATTATATTATTTTCACCTAAAATGTAATGTAACCTATACACACACACATATATATATATATATATATATATATATATATATATATATATATATACCTGAATCAACCTGTATCAGGTTACAACAATGGATTTTAAGGCTCAGGAGAAGTAGAAATATATGTTTTTACTATTAAAGTGTTTGCATGCACACACAAGTTCATCTTTTTTTATCTATATCCTCTATACCTGTTATATTGGTTTTTAAACAAACAAAGTCACATAAGTTCATCTGGTGTTCAGTGCTGTGGAATTCATTGTTGCATGTCTGATGTCTTGTTTGGCCTGTTTGATGAAATCTAACCCCGTCTGTCATGGTGTCTGGTGGAATGTTCCTTTATCGCTGCGAATGCAATGTTGAGACAAGGTGCATGTCCCTTTTCCGGAAATCTTAGATAATCCGAGGCCTTTCTTTTGTTTTGGCATTTAGGGAAACACTTTTTTTGGGTGTTGTTAAATACAAGTAGTTGCAACCAAAAATCTTCACACTTTGTTTTACATGCGTGTCTTCACTTCAATGAGGAATTCAGGGTCTTTCAGTTTTATACCAAGAGATCTGATCCGCTAAATATTTCACAGCCTGTCTCTTGTATGGAAGGGTTCATTGTACGGTGCGCTGATCACTGAACTCCTCTGCACATTAATGCGACTGTACAAAAACTAGCTTGTTTGCTCTCCACATGGGATTCTGCAGTGGGTTAGACATACATAATACATGCTCTTAGGAATGGGAATGTGATCGTTGCATGAAACATTGTAAATGCCATGTAACATTAGGCTTGATTTGACATTTCAGTCTACATGGAAGAGACCGAGTTTATGTTGATATTTCATCGTTTTTTAGGTTCAGTAATCTTTATAAACTTTTCCCCCCAATTATAATGTTTATTTTATGGCACTTGATTTTCCAGCCGTCCTAATGCCACTGTTCTACTATATGTTTCCCTTCAGGTGACAGTGAGCAGTGGTGCTGAGAACCATGGAGCATCTCAGCGAAACATGCCAAGGGAAGGAGAACTGTGAGGTGGTCAATAATCTAAATGACGCCAAGGCCCCTCCAGCCAAAATGGCCCGCCTGGAACAGAACGGAAGCCCGCTGGGCAGGTCTCGTCTAGGTAGCACTGGAGCGAAACTCTCCGGAGTGCACTTCAAACCCCCTGGACATCATCTGATGGCCTGCCACAAGAGGGGTGAGTTTGCTTTTTCTTACCACTGCACTCTTATAAATAAAGGCATTGATGGTTTCATGAAGAATCTATGGAACACTCTTAAAAATAAAGGTTCCAAAAGGGAGTTTTCACAGTGGTGCAATAGAAGAACCATTATTTGTTCCCCAAAGAGTTCTTAAAAGAACCATTTTTTTTTCATAGTGTGAAGAACATTTTTAAATATCTAAAGAACGTTTTTTTCACTCTAAAGAACTTTGTGCATTTGAAATGTTCCATGGATATTAAAGGTTCTTCATGGAACCATCAATGCCAATAAAGATCCTTTAATTTTAAGAGTGAACCTTTCCACCATTCCACAAAAGGTTCCGTATAGTGTAAATAGGTCCTTAAAATATTCTTCACAATAAGAAAAAATGGTTCTTTTAAGAACTGCTCAACCAAAAGGTTCTTTGGGGAACCAAAATGATTCTTCCACTGCGTTGCTAGAAAACCCCCTTTTGGACCCTTTATTTTTAAGCGTGTGTATCAATGATGGAATTGATTTTAGTGAGAAATCTGTCCATCCAAATTAGGACCAATGATATTTTACAGTGGGTGGGGCTACAGGATGTTTCATGACTCAGAAACCCAAGTGACCAACCAAATGTCCCATTTTATGTTGTGGCCATGGATGGCTAGGACCCTTATATCATGCACAAATATTATGTAAAGTAGTTTGCACATTTTATATATTTGTTGCATAGCTATGCCACTAGCAGCATTTCTAAGAGTACGTTTAGTAGTTATTGTAAGCACATTTGTATATATATTTTTTTTTTAAGAAAACGGTCACTTTAGTACTTTGTCTACTGCTTTGGTATGTCACAAAAAAAACTTAGTAAATGAATCCTGATTACTTTTTTTGGTTGCTGATTTGATGTTTTAGAGCATTGCTATTTATTTTGGCATATTTTTGCTGTGGAATTATTTAAAGAAAAAAACAATAATAATAATAAATAAAAATAAATATATATATATATATATTTACATTTATGTATATGTATACACACACACACACACACGCATATATATATATATATATATATCTGCAGTGTGCGATTAAAGGGAAAATGCTTTAGCTACAACAACTAGTGTCAGTTCTTCATGTACCCCGGCTGCATTCTATTGCTCTCTGGGTAACTGTTATTATTATTTATGGGAAAAGTGAACTTTTGCTGAGTGCTTGCTGAACTTTGGAAGCTACTGTATTCATTGTTTCAGCTGAATAATATTTACCATGGGCTTTTCTCAGCTCTCTGGGAACAAAGCGTGTATTGATCCTGAAATGAACTGACACAGCAGTCTTTATTGTTAGATCTTTATCTATTAAAAATGGAAAAGCTTCGATTCAGCACATTCCCTGGCATCTGCTTATGATTACCCTATTTATTGATTGTTTTCCAGAAAATGGTCGCATTCTTAGGAAACTGCGACCGCGAGGAGCAGAAATATGATTTATTATGATTGCCCCGGATAGACGGCGTTGATATTTCCCCCAGCCTCTATTAAACCCTGTAAAAATAAAGATCCTGGGTCCAAGAGATCATGAAGTTCCTGAAATTTCATCACCGGAGTGTTGCAGCTGGCTGGTATTATGTGATATTTGCACAGTAAACCCGAACACATGACAGTTTTGGATGGAGATTCTTCGTTTTTTTTCCGTGATAGCGGCACGCTGTTTACACAGACTCATAAACCTCAAGGCTATACGGTGCATTGGGAGCTGCTGCACGGCATCATGGGAAGGGTACTGGGATCTGCCTAAAGAAGTATTCTAATGTGATTTGAGGACCTTAACAATAAATAAAGCGCTAAACCCGCGATGAGCTCTAACCTTTTAGTGTGCTAACACGTTTATATAGTGGAGCTGTTTCATTGACGTCATCTCCGCTTGTTCTGCATTGTGATCTAATTATGCATGTTACAATGCTGCATTATTGTAACACTGTTACAGTGGATGATAATCAATTGATAACACAGCCTTGCATGAAAAAATAGTTTCAGCTGATTTGCAAAAAATGCCTAAAATTAAGAATGAAAATTCAAATTTAACTTTACATACGAAGTACTTTAGTACTGTTAAATTATTTTTTTTAAAGAAATTAATATATTTATTCAGCAAAGATGCCTTAAATTGATCAAAAGTGACAAATACATTTATAATGTTACAAAAGATTTCTGTTTCAAATAAATGCTGTTTATAAAAGTTTCAGTTTTAATGACCGAAGTAATCAAAATGTATCATTCAACTTTCAATCTGCAAACAAGTGGGAAAATATGTTCAAATACTCCATTGAATGTCAGTTTTACATTAGCTTATTTATTCAGTTAATGAATCAATAAGCTTTTTCACAAAAACTGTAATTTTCTGTCGCTGTTTGGATGTAGTAACACACCCGCAGATGTAGCAGAAAATATCTGTCGTATGTTTGTATCTTCTTCCATCACTGGCCATAATTCTAACCTTGAAATCAGGATTAGACATAAAATAATGTCACACATGTGAAAATGGGCTGAGAATTGAACAAAGTTCAAATTAGTTGTAAATTATGGGAATTGTGTCTTTGTGGCTGTTTTTCTGCCGATTAAGGGATAACGGAAGACTTCTTCACTTTACAAATGCTTGTCAAAAGCAAAAAGGCTACAAAATGCATCGTTTTGTAAGAAAAATATGATGTGATAGAGAAAAACAGGTACTATTTTTGGAATCGGCACCCCACAATTCATATAAGAAGTGGTATTATTGGAGGTTGCATGCAAAGGCAAATGTCATTCTTCCTATTGCTTATGCTTAGGGTTCAAGGTTTTTCAAAATGTACACCCTAACAACCACATAGCAACATGTTATAATTAAAGGGGTGGTTCATTGCGATTTCACTTTTTTAACGTTAGTTAGTGTCTAATGTCGCTGTTTGAGCATAAACAATCTGCAAAGTTCTGAAGCTGAAAGTTCAATGCAAACGGAGATTTCGTCTGTTAAAATTCTGGCAGTTTAATGCCTACAAAAACGGCTGGTAGGGACTACAACGAGTTACTTCCCGGGTTCGTGACCCTCTTCAATAATATCCTCTGTTTCTCAATCGGGCTCAAACTGATAAGCGATATTAACGATGCAGTTGTTTACAATACAACCGGAGCACATGCCGCCGAGGTGAGGGGCGGGACGTTTATACGCGCACTAGAGGCGGTTTAGCCAATCACAACACACTGGGCTAGCTAACCAATCAGAGCCCATCGCCTATTTCTGAGGGAGGGGCTTCATACAAGAAAGAAATGATCAGCCCGTTTCTCAGAGAAGGGACAGAGCGGTGTGGAATAAAGGTAAATTATGTGAAAAATAATGTGTTTTTTTAAAAACGAAGCATTAACGCATGTTAGACTGCACCCCATAAACACAATCAAGCCTAGAAAAAAACCAGTGAACCACCCCTTTAAAAACAACTTTATTTTTCGCTCGAGTATTCTTTGCATTTGCATTTTTGGATGAATATGCAACAAAAATAATACTGTTGTTCAAAATCTGTGGCATTTTAGCATCTCCCTGTTGTGTGCAGAGGTGTAAAGCTTGCTCTCTTGTTTCTGCTAGGTAACTTGCTGCCAGTGTTTTGTGTGGTGGAGCACTACGAGAGCCCCATCGAGTTTGACAGCAAAGAGGAACATGCTGAGTTCGTTCTGGTCAGGAAGGACATGCTCTTCAACCAGCTAATCGAGATGGCCCTGCTCTCCCTGGGCTACTCGCACAGTTCGGCTGCACAGGCTAAAGGTACGGCGCATTTATACCGTCCAAAACATGGCATACAGACAAATGGTGCACGGCGATACCTATTTCTCCAGAACGTGCATGTGTTTTTTTTTTGCTGTTAGATCAGAATCATGAGTCATAAAATGCTGGGCAGATGCTCGGATATTTTTGGAGGCTAAACGGAGATATTTTTGGAGTGATTTGTTGGCTGTGTTCTGGTGCATGCATGCTTCTGCTCAGGCTGACCTGATGCCGAGGTCAGGGGGGTTGTGGGTAGTGGCAAGAACACACAGGTGCACCTCCTGCTCTCTGTAATCACACTTTTCTCAATGGGAACGAGTGTGGAGGTGGGCCTGCGGTTTCTAATTGCTGGCTTTATGGAGTTGGGGGCTATTTTAAGAGCCGTAGCCTTCAGCCTGTAATTTATTGCAGGCTGTCCATCATAATTCCTTTTTTCTCTGGATCTTCTGGATCTTGTTTTTTTTTCTGTTAATCATTTAGTGTCAGTCGACAGACAACATATGGTCGAGCAATTGTTTTTTTTTAAAGAATGCCTTTTTGCAAACCTGTATAAAAAATACCATGGTATTACCATAAAAATAAACTTTAGAAAGACCATGACTGTGTTTCAAAACCTTGTAGGCTGCAAGTCAACATACAAATGTATCATACAAATAGAGCTGTTCACAAAAGGCTCGCCGATTGATTTCAGTATTGAGTTTGGCATTATAATGTGGTTAGGTTAATGTGATGTTCATAAATCAGAACTGCTCAAATGTTAAGAAATTAATATCTTTATTCAACAAGGATGCATTAAGTTTATAAAGTGACAAAGACCTGTATAATGTTTAGGGATGCACCAAAATGAAAATTCTTGGCCAAAGCTGAACAAAATGAAACACTGGGCCGAAGGCCGAATACCGAACACGGTTTTTCACATTTTTCCCCCATGTAGGCCTATTTTGCCATTTTTATTCACCATTGCATTAATTAAATTGCCAAAATGTGCTTTTTACTGTTTTGTCCTGCTTTTCAAATAAAAAATCAATTAAAAAACAATAATTTAAAAATATTTACTTAACACTGAACTCTTTTTTTTAACATTCTAGCAGACATTATACCAACAAAGCACAATT